CTGTTTCTAGAATTCCTATTTTCTCTAAGATACTGGAAGCGATAATAACGGACAAAATAACACCATTATTCAAAAATTTAATAATTCCTGAACAACATGGTTTCAGAAAAGGGAAGTCCGCGACTTCAAATTTGTTGGCATTTGAACAGACTCTGTTTGGCGCTTTGGAGGAGGGGTATCAGGTAGCTGTGGTTTATACAGACTTCTCCAAGGCATTTGACAGAGTTGACCATAGGATTCTAAAAAGTAAACTGGAATACATAGGTTTTCACGGTAGTTTCTTGGATTGGATTGTTGATCAGCTCTCAGGAAGAAAGCAAAAGGTTAAAGTAGAAAATGTTATCTCAACTGAGATTGATATACCTTCTGGAGTTTTGCAAGGCGGACATTTATCTCCACTTCTATTTAACCTCTTCATGAATGATGTTAAGAAGGTTTTCACAAGTTGCAAATTTCTAAATTTTGCCGATGACAAAAAAATATTTCTTATTGTTGAAGATATCAGTGACTGTGAGACCCTTCAAAATGAAGTTAATCAATTTTATTTGTGGTGTGGAAGGAATCATTTAGACCTTAATTTAGACAAATGCAAAATTATGTCCTTTCGGAGAATGAAAAGTCCTTTTATTTTTGATTATTCAATTGGAGGAATTAATCTGGAGAGAGTTAATGTCATGAGGGATTTAGGTGTTCACTTGGATGTAGAATTGAATTTCATAAAGCACATTGAAAGAATTTCCAACAGAGCTATGAGGTTGTTAGGATTTTTATTGCGTAGTTTGAAGGATTTTAATAATATATTTACTTTAAGAAATGCCTATTCATCTATTATCAGGCAAGTGCTGGAGTATGCTAGCCCTGTTTGGTCACCCTACTATGATAAACATAAATATCAATTAGAGAAAATACAGAGGAGATTTTTAAGATTTATTGCTTACAAGTTGAGTATAAAGTATGATTCTATTGATTATGATGAACTTCAGACTCTTCTAAATATGCAGACATTACAACAAAAAAGGGACCAGCAGGACTTGTGTATTTTATATAAAATAATTAACAACATAATTGATTCACCCGAGCTTTTATCGGAAATAGGTTTAAACATTCCTCGCAGTAATATTAGGAGCAATAGGTTATTTTCTATTAAAAATCACCGTACTAACTATGGTTACTATTCTCCTTTAACAAGATTCTCTAGAATGGCAAACTCTGTGATAAATAAGTTTAATATAGATATTTTTGATATTAGTCTGCATAGCTTTAAATACAAAATCAAATCCATCTAGTCAAAGTGCTTTTTATCCTGTTGATAGTTTTATATGTTCATATTTTATATTTATATTTGTTTTTATTTTATTTATCTAATACTAGCTGTAACATGTTACCACATATGTGTTGTTAAAGTTTTCAAATGGTTTTAAGTGTTTTGAATGTGTTAAATGTTTTTCTTTAGATTCTATTTGGCATGTTGCACATGCGGTTAAATTTATCTTTTGATAATAATATACCTACACTTTTTTTGTGAGAATTTAGGTTTAAGCAACTCTTATATATTATTATATTACTATTGTTTATTTAATTATTGTAAAATGGCATGTCCGTAAATAAAATTCTATTCCATTCTATTCTATTCGTACGCACTCCTACAGGATCTTCCAGAAAAACATCCAGATATACATGCTGAATTTCTTTGTGGCAACTTCACCAGCAGTGAAAATGCTCTGTTCAAGTGGATGGTAGCAGGCCCTAGGATCAGTTCTTTAATTGAGGAATTTGAAGAGAAATCAAATTCAAATGATGACAAAAACGTGGGCGCAAAGCATCATGAGGATAACAATGCAGCTGAGAAAAGGTTTTTGGCCCATGTTGAAAAATGATTCATGTCTTTGGTGTCAATAAAAAGCTCTAAACTAATTCCAAGTGTCGAAGCTGTGAAGTGTGTTACGGAAGCATTTACTTTAGGACTGAAGCAGTATGATGAATATTATCTCGTTCCGTCTCGATCAAGTTCAAAATTCAATCCATGAAATTATTCCTCGGACCAATATTCACATCTTCAAGACTATCGCAAGAAAAACAGATAAGTCAAAGTCCAAGATTGCTAATAACTTTCGTAAAGATTCCAACTTCTTCTGCAGATTGTATGTCGCATCTGAAGCACGGGATGGTAAAATTGATGAGTTCTTTTCGCATGAAAACCAAATGTACTTACCATCTATTTCAGATGATGGAAAACTCCGCAAACCAACCAACAAGTCAAATATTATTGACTGCATTCAAACAAAATGTGACATTAGCTTTAATCCCAGCCAACAGCTAAAATATTTGATGGAGCAGCTGTAATACACATGCTAGCACATTTTCCGAATACTATGAAGATGTTTTCAAACCATATTTCACAAATCAACTGAAGAATAGTTCGCGAATAGATATCGTATTCGACAGAACAGTTTGAAGGCAGATGCCTGAGAAAGTAGTGGAAATGGCATAAGTATTAAACTAAAATTCCAAATTCCAATTCCTATGTTCTAACGGAAAAAAAAAATTGTTCCAGTTGCTCGCTGAGAAAATGGTGAGCGACGAGTATCCAGGAAAACATGTTGTCTGATGTACTTATGATGACCAAGTCCTCACGTCAACAACTATGGATGTTTCAAGTATTTCTCCCACCTCACACGAAGAAGCAGATGGCCGTTACTTCTCCATGTTAAGCATACAGTAGAAAGTGAACATACTCGCGTCTTAATTCGAACTGTGGACTCAGATGTAGTGGTTATTTCAATAACACTTTTCCCACAAATACAAGATATTGATGAACTATGGATTGAGTCTGGTTGGGAGAAATACAGAAAATTCATTGCAATTCCTAAGATTTGTGGCACATTCTCACCAGAAATTTGTTGGCTATTCATTCTGTTACTGATTGCGACACAGCCCATATAGTACAAAATATTTTTGGGATATTTTTTTTTGATCAACAATGTATATTTTTTGAACAACGCTAATAAAATATTTTTAAAAGATTCAAACAACATTTGTGACCACACATTGGTTTGGAAATGTTCAAAAAATGTTTTTAAAATGTACTCAAAAATACATTAGTTTCACAAACATATCCAAAATAATATTTTTAAATGGATATTTTTTGAACATCAGAAAAACATAATAAAAATAGTACCTATATTGTTGTATTAGGAGTAGAAGCTTTACTTTTTTGTGCTGAAGCAGTAGGTTTGCGAGCCGAACGTAGTGAGGCTTGCAATACTGCTGAAGCATAAAAAAGTGCTTCTACTCCGTATGCAACACGCTATTTTTTCTCCAAGCGAATGGAGTAAGCTCGGGGGTAACTGGATGGTTAAGCGACAGTAAAAGTACGAGCGGCACTAAAAGTACTTTTGCTGCCGCTACAGCGGCACTAAAAGTACTTCTACTGCCGATGCGGTTGCCTAGCAGCATAGAAATTAAATCTCTACCGCCTCGACAGGTGCTAACCTGCTGGATTTGCCTAGCAGCATAGAAATTAAGCTTCTGACACCTTGACAGGCGTTAACAAAGTGACGTTTTTTTGACGTTTGGAAAAAAAAATATTTTTTCCCCCACATTTGCTGAACATTTTTAAAACATTCGGTCTCTAAAGTCTGGCTCGAGACTTAGGGCTGGTATTATAAAACTATTTTAACAGACCAAATAAAAGTTAACTTTTGGAATGACAAATTGTGCAATTGTTTTGGACCGTTCTAGAACCATCCTTTTTTCGAACCAAAACAAAGCTTTTGATTTGATTTAACTTGTCCTTGTTTGCTGTTTCTAGGCGCCATATATCTACCTGCTCTGTTACAGGTTGAATTAATTCGCAGTGTTGTCAGCTAGTAACCACTGTAACAGTAAAGTAAAAATGGCCATACTTGGGGGCATTTTCAGTAACAGCAGACGCGCTAAATTTCCAAACTGCTTTCGGCGACGACAGTAATAGCAGCCACAAAATATCCAAAAGACGTTTTAAAAATATATTTGGATATTTTGAAAATGTTTTTAAAACATTCTAAAAAATATCATACAGATACAAACATTTTTAATACATCGTTTCTGAATCCGCATTATTTTTTTGTCAATGATGATGTTCAAAAAACATTTTCATACTTTATAAAAATGTTTTTAATAAATTTGAAAAACATCGCATGGATATTCAAAAAATATCGATTCGTTACCGCAGAATGTTATCAACAATTTCATTAAATTTGCAAGTATTTCTGGTATTAAGAACCTAAATGATGATGTGTAATATACTGTTGGAAAGCGCGTTTCCTCCTGATTATTATTCACTACTATAAGTTAATATCAAAATACAAACTCGAGTTATATAAGGAAATGTAGAATCATGTCCCAGAAATTAGGCGGCAATAATAATTACGTCATCAACGCCGCTAGAGGACCAAAAAAATTTGTGTCCCGGGCTTTTTAGACTCGTCTACCCATGTACTGTCTCAACCCGCATTGGTTGCCAGACGTGAGATATTCTGATATAATTTTCAGCTACCTCACGCCACTAATAGCCCAATAGTACTAATACATACTATAAAAATCGTAATTACATTTTGTGTTGAGTTTGGCTTTACAGACAACGCAACGCAATATAAAATCTTGGTTTACTTGCTCAAAAAACTTGATACATCGTCACATTCTGCGATAATTCAGGTGACTCTCAAGAAGGTTTTTGATAAATTGGTTAGCTGGTTGTCAATCCCTTAATTGTAAGTGGTTGAAGTTTTGTTTGGGATTGAATTGAAATAAAACTACAGAAGTCTGTTATTTCAGTCTGTAAGTCTCTTATTTACTTGTAGTATCCTGAAGATGCAATAAAATATTGCGCAACGTTGACAATCTGAAATAACAGACTTATGTTGTTTTTATTAAATTTTCATTCCTATGAGTAAATCGAAATTTCTGATACATGGTAACACAAAGATATACTTTTCCAACAAAAACCAAAAGATCCTTACCTTCTGGGCTCCTTTCATGGGCATTAAAATGCTGATTTGCAAATTCCACCATATCATAATGCAACTCATCATTAGCATTATGTTCCTTTTCATTATTCTCGTTCAATTCTTGCAACTTCTTTTCCACTCTAAACTTTCTTCTTTGTTCCCGTTCAGTGTTGGCCACTTGATGTAGCTTCTCAATTTGCTGATTGTTTTGTAGATTGTTATGGTGTAGTTGAGGCTGTGCAGGTACTTCATGATTGTTATGTTTCCAGTGTTGAGACAACGAGCTGCTTGATCTTGAAACCGTAGGCGTAGGTCTAGGACTCTCTAGTTTAGGAGGTGCTGGTAAAGGAGGTGGAGATACGCAAATCGGCAACATAGATTCTTCTCGTGGCAAAACTGACTCATATATTGGTTCATCTTGGGTTTTCCGTTTTTCTTTTGGTGGATCGATAGGGGGTGGCGCAACTGGAGTCTCTGGTGACGATTGAAACGCTGGAGGTGGTGGGGGAGGTGGAGGGCCTGTGGGTTCTGGCAAACTTGGGAGACCCATTTTAGTTAAAACAGGCGTTTGTTGTTCTTGAGCGAGACCTTCTAGTTCTTGTTGTATCACAGTTTCCAATTCCACATCTAAATCTTCGACTAATTCATTCATTTTTTCACCAATTTCATCTATGATATTGACTCGGCCGTTGCTTTGGGGGGCCACGTCAGATAAAAATGCAAATAAATTGTCTAAATCCACTGAATCAGTGGCACTTTCATTAAAGTGGGGTTTCAGTTGCTCTGCCATTTGAGATAAGGCAGCGATTTCTTGTTCGGCAGCTCTAAAAGTTAATAGAATTAGTTTAAATGCAAGACATTCACACAAAATTCACCTTTCACTTTCTTCCAAATCTCCATTTTGTAAAGCTGTAGGTATAGGGGGTGGTGGTAAAGCTTCCATTTCTTGAGATTCTTTTTCTTGAAGCGCGGCTAATCGTGCAGCTTCTGCTTCTTTAGCTAGCTTTTCAGCTTCTCTTTGCTTTCTTTCCTCTTCTAAACGTTCTCGTTTACGCATTTCCTCTTCAACTCGACGCATTTCGCGTAGAGCAGCTGCTACCTCTAAAAATAATCAAATTTGTTACTAAAAGTATTTATTTATTAATTATATCTTACCTCTCGCAAATACTCCTCTTAAATGGCTTTGTATTACAATAGCGGCACGTCGTTTCTTTAAAAATTCTATCCTTAACTTCCATCCTTTATAAGCATGTTGTATTTTCAAAATAGCACCTTTGATCTTAACATAATCTTTTCTAGCTTTGTATTTCCTCCATGTTTTTTGTATAAGTACAGTTTTGTCTTTGACCATTTTATTTCTGGTATCTTCTAATGGTTCGTGAATGTGAGATCGCATAAAAACTTTAGTTTTGCCCAGTTGCCATTCTGTATTTGGCAACTGGTAGCTCTCTATAAGACATAACGAAGCTTTTCGGACATCCAGTGGAAGACGATTTTTGGAAAGACAATGATATCTGGAAATTATTTAATATTATTTGTAGTATTATTGTGAGATTTTGTCCTACCTTATCACGAAATCCTCATAGCTCATATGTATTGGAAATCCTTCTTTTCTAATCCTAATGATATCTAACATTCCTAAATATTTTAATTGGTCCAAAACTAAAGCCTCATCATAATCATTCGGAAGTTTGTCTTTGTTTGGCTTTATGCATCGAACATACCATGGAGTTGTAGATTGTAAAACATCTACCAGAGCTTGTAATTGATGCCTAATAATAATAATTATTATTATTATAATACTGTTACATTTAGAAAAAATTACACAAGCGAATAAAATTGTGTTAAGAATAACTTATTATTGCAAAACTGGATACATTTGAAAATACAGTTAATCTATGTATTGGTACACTGTAAAATTTTCAGCCTATGTTAGCAATTGACAAGTTATTAGTATTAACGTTGGGACATCTTTTTGCAAATAATATCTGATCCATATCATCAGCATAATGTATGTTTGTGAAAATGTCTAACTTATTAACGTTTTGATCAAGTTTGAGTGCAGTTTGATAGTTTAAAGTCGAGGAAGGAATTATTGTCTATAGGTAGGTACTTAATTATGTTTTTTTTGCAAAAAAAAACCTTTGTTCAAAATTGTGGAAAAATAATTTCAATTTTTTCATAAAAATGTTACCTAAATGTGTCTGAAACGGTTGGCTTTCCTTTACTAGTACCTCGTGACACAGTACTAACGCCATTATTGGTCGTCGATGCTTTCTGTGCTAGGTCTTGAAAGGTGGATAAATCCTGTACAAATTCATTGGTACTCCTAGAAATTATATCAAAGAAAACGTCTTGTTGCACGTCGCGATTTTTGTCCACAAAACCTTTGACGTTATATGTTACACAGCCTGCGTAATGTTTCACGCCAAATTCAGTCTCCCAACGTCTACGGTCATCACCTGAAGAAAAAATTATCTAAATTAGCCTTGTTTGTTAACCTAGGGAATATAGTTTTAATTTTTTATTCGCAGGCCACAACAATCAAGTAACAAATAGATCCAACTATCACAAGATAAGGCTCTATGAAAACAGAGAGAAGATACCTTTGTTTAGGTGTCGACCATAAATTTTTGTTCTAGAAGAGAAAAGGCACAGCAGATAGAAATCATAGGAAATTTGCTAACATAAGCCAACTACTTAATACTAAGAGTTAATCCTAGAAAATGCTTACCTTTAACATATCGCTCGTGACTCTCAAATTCCGCATGCAAATTTGATATATACAAAGCATCACAACCTCTGGGCAAGTGACATTGCTCACTTAACAGCCTTAAAATACATCTAGGTGGTTTCTCTAACAATTCCAAACATAATGTATTATCCGTAAATGAAATATGATTAAAACTGATTTCTTCTTGTTTATACTAAAAAAGAAAAACATGTTTTTGAAAATATTCTTATTTTTGAATTAGTTATACCTACAATCTCTTGTTCTAAAGCGAAAACGTAGTGATTAAAAAACTTGTGCAACTTTTCATTGGTGTAATTAATGCACAGTTGCTCAAATGAATTAACAGCGAAATTTTCAAAACCAAAAATATCCAGAACACCCAAAAATCTTGAAGAATCTTGTCCTGGGTTTATGCAATTGTTTATGTGATTGATAAGCCAAGCAAATGTTCTTGAGTATAAGGCTTTGGCCATTGCATGCCGATTTTCACCAGCCTGGAAATATATCAATAGTTAACAATTCTGCATGCAAACTAACATAAAAATGTTCAATACCTGTTGTTTAGTTAATGGAATTTCAGTAATATTGCCCCTAACGTTAATTTGCCTTAACAGAACTACTTGTTTAATATTTTCAAAATCTAAACCAAGTAGTTTGGATAAAACTTCCACTATCACCTCATCTTCCTTTGTCAACTGACATCTTTCTCCATCTGAAAAAAGAAATTTCAATTACTGAAATCCGAGGATTGCCTTTGATCATAAATTACCGGTTTATTCAATTCACAAATTTATTCAATTGAAAAATATATAAAATTTCAGATAAACGATATACTGATAACAAAAATCACAAAAATGTTCTTACCCACATCCTCAAACGATAAGTTTCCCAACCACAAAATAGCAGAAAGCGTTTGAAAAATTCCATTGCACATATTGGCAGGTACTTGGAGAACTTGAAACGCTAACCGCAAGCTATCCAAACCTTTGGCGTCCGAATCAAGTTTAATACTGTGCGATTTGTTTAGATAATTGTAGAATTTTGCATCTTTTAGGTGGAATTGACTGGCTATTTCGTTATTGTGCTGAAATAAAATTTATTTTTCTAATTATTTTAGAGACAATTTTTTCAACAAGAGTTAGGTACTTATTGTATTGATTTCTTGATTTTGTCACCCAGAGTATTTAAAAAAAATAATCTTTTAGGTCCAAAGACTAAAGTTCTTACCTTTGCTTCTTCTACTAACTGATAAAAAACGTGATAATTTCTTTCGCCAGGACCTTGGAAGGTAATTCGCGATTGTTCCAAAAGATAATCCTGTACGATGCATCCAGCAATCATCCATCTTGAATCGAAACAGACTTGCATGAATTTGCCAAATCTACTGGAGTTGTCGTTTCGAACAGTTTTGGCGTTACCTGAAATAAGGATACAAATACAATTGGTGACTTTGTTGAATCTTTTGTAACTATGATTTATTTTATTTCTTGAACTTTTTATTTCGACTTGTTTAAAAAAAAAAATTGCAAATACAGAAAAACAAAAATGTTGCCCAAGGTGTATATTCAAATTATAAATAATTGACGAGAAAATCAGCGATGTCCTAAATATTAATTAATTAACTAATAACCGAGATAATAACTAACCTGATTAATATAATTTATTTATTAATTATACACGGAAGGAGTCTATTCGTACACGTGTACCGAATTTTAATAAATTAAAAAGCTAGTTAATATAAAACTGAGTTGATCAGAACCTGGGCATTTAAACAGACCGCTCTGTGTTGATTTTGTTCTACTTGAGATCTCGGTAGATTGGTTTTCTTTACCAAGCTGAGCCAATTTCAAAAACTTTTCCTAAGAGCTGATCGCTAACAGTTATGTTCAGGTTTGGCAAACACCCGGATTTTTGAAAATTTCTATTGGGTTTTTGGGGGTTATTGTGATATAGTTTTTGTGTTTCCTTAACAAAGAAGCTTCAAAATTGAATTTATCGAACATTGAAAATTTTCCAGAAATGACACTGAGTCAGTTTTCACCTCACAGCTCTGTTAGTTTTTCATCCGATTCCAATGTAATTCAGCTCTAAAAAATTAATGCTCTATAAACCTGTCATTGAAATTTTAATTTGGTTCCAACAGTTTTGCAGGAGCTTCAAAATAGAATTTATCGAACATTGAAAATTTGCCAAAAATGACACTGAGACATTTTTTTGCCTAACAGCTTCGTTAATTTTATCCGATTTTAATGTATTTAAGCTCTCATTGAAGCCTATTGAATTATCTACAAACCTATTAATTGAGATTTTAATATGGTTTCAACAGTTTTGCTCCTGAGAAGCTTCAAAATAGAATTTCTCGAACATTGAAAACTTTCTAAAAATGACATGTAGACAGTTTTTGCCTCACAGTTCCGTTAATTTTCAGCCGATTTCAATATAATTGAACTCTAATTAAAGCCGAATAAATCCTCTCAAACCTATTAATAACGATTTTAATTTCGTTTCAACAGTTTTGCACCTGAGAAGCATCAAAATTGGATTTATCGAAGAAATTTTTTCCAAAAATAACATTCACAGCTCCGTTAATTTTAATCCGATTTCAGTGTAAATAAGCTCCAATTAAAAATTAAAGCCAATTAAACTCTCTACAATCCTGTTAATGAAGATTTTAATTTGGTTTCAATTATTTATTTACTAGTTTATTAGTACAAATTATTTGTTACTACTACCTTACTACTAGTAGTTATCTTGAAAGTTCTTTTTAATTTTTACTTTTGTATCTAAGAATTGTTTGATCAATACTAATTAGTTGACCTTTTTTTCCTTAGGATTTTCATTTTGTTTAATATAATATAGATAAGAAAAATATAAATAATCTTAAATTTTGAATTGATATTTGACAGTAATACTATGATCAGAATGAGTTCTCTATGAGTGGGTTTTTGGCACAAAAAACCCACTGGGTTTTTGTCAATATTGATGGTGGGTTTCTGTTGTAAAAACCCACTGGGTTTTTGAAATGTGTTTTTGTGTATGCCAACCCTGGTTATGTTTTTTGTACTCATCATCTTTGTTTTTATTAGGTTCATTTCATGTCCAATTTGCAGTGATATACGCTGAAGTTATTCAAGCAAGTTTTTGACCTCGTTTATCTGTAGAGGGTATATTGTACTGTACAAATTTTAAGATGCTTCTATTTTCATTCGGGTGGATGTATTATCATAAATTTTTTAATAAGCCTTGTATATCTTAAGTCTATCCTCTAATCATCCGTGCTTTTTTCAATGAAAGTATGAAGGGCTTGCAAGTGATTAGTAGTACCATATCCTCTACAGCTACTGAATCTTGCCTGTTCAACGTGTTGGTAAGAACCTATTTTGTTAGTCAACCGGTTCGTCTCCTTTTTTGTAGATTAGGATAACTTCTGCATTCTGCCACTTGTTTGAAATCTTTCCTATCATTAAACATATGTTCAGCTCCGCACAGCACCCCACATTTTTTATCACCCTAGTATTATCAGAAAGTTATTATGTAGGTAACCAAACAAACCAAAGAGATAAACCAACAGACCAAAACTCACATAAACGAAAAGTAGGTTCTTTTCGGACGTTCCTGTTGATTTCATTGCTAAGTTTCGTATAAATTTGGTTCTCAATTTCAATATATTTTTCGTATGTGATCCAATCGTGCTCGGGTTTTTCTTCTGCCAAGAGCATATAGGTACTTCTTGTTGCAAACAAGATACTTTCTAGTCCTAATTTTCTCGATTCCTCCAATTTAGTATTTGAGATATTATGATGTTCAAGGTTTTTGCAGATGATACCACTGACCTGTGGAGAAACCGAGAAGTCCTAAGTCTTCATTTGGGTGTTGGGGCGTACTTGATAAAGATCATCCTATGATCCAAAGCAAATCTTTTATGATTTGGTATTTCTAAAACATATATTATTGTTAGTTTTAAGAACTACACTCTTGAGGAAATCACGCTGTTGGGCATTAAGAATTGACAGTACTTAGGTAGCGAGGTTTTTGGGTTTTGACGATTCAAACTTGAAATTTGAGTCACATTAATGGCACATTTTCTTTTGGCGCGTACTGCAATAGAAATATTTCCTTAGAATTAGGTGAGGCAAGATCAACATACTCCCCATTAGTTGAATACCATCTTCGATATGGTTTGCCATTCTGGGGCACTTGCAAAAAATGGTTATGTGATCATGTCTCCATCAGGAAAGGGCACTACGGTTTATGTGTCAGGCTCAGCGTCAGGTCTCTCCAGGAACTCATTGTAAGATCCCTCTATCCAGAGCAGTATCTTAACTCTTTCCTCTCTGTTGATGAGGTGTTTTCATTAGGGTTTAATGGCAGTCGTAAGTTGGAATTTCTTCCTGACGTTTCGCTAGCACGCGTGGATAGCATCTTCAGAGGTGCTTCCAAATCCGATTCTAGTAGCAGACTGACGCGTTCCCGACCGTAAGTTGTATTTATGTGTGAGTGGCTGGGGTAGGGGAGGGGCGGGGCTTCGCAGCACGTGGCTAATCTCAACTTTCTCTGTACTCAATAGGATCTTTCTTGCGTTTTTGAGGAACGGGTTCCAGATTTGGTTAAGTTTTAGTGCTTCTTTTTTCCTGTTGAAGTTCTCCGTTTGTTTGTGGATTTCTATAGTTTCACGTACAAGACGACTGTGGTATCCGGAAATCAGTGCAAGAAGCTTGACTTCACCAAAGAGTATTTCATGATTCCCTTCGCTAAGCCGATTGTCCTAGTCTGCAGTTTTCTTTCTTTTATGCTCGTCCATCCTGGTTCCCATGGATCTTTTTGTCGTTCCTATGTACACCTTACCACATGTGCATGGTATACGATAGACTCCAGCGCTTGACAGTGGGTTCCTCTTTCTTATCCTTAGCTGATCTGATTGATTGCTGTATTTTTCTTTTTCTTGTTGGATTGAAGATTGTTTTTATGTTGTGTTTGTTCAACACTTTCCCTATCCTGTCTGTCACCCGAAAAATGAAAGGCAGACATGCATATAGCCACCACTGGTTGTTAATCCACGTTTTGTCGTGTGGCAGTTTTGGGTCGCATCGCCCTGTCGATTCCAGATGCATTGTAACCATTTGAAAGAAAGGCCGACTTGAGGTGATCAAGTGCTTGCTCGAGATGTTGTGGCTCGCAGATGTTCTGAGCACGTTCTGTTAACGTTTTTATAATTCCACGTTTTTGCCTTGGATGGTGGTTTGAGAGTGCATGAAGGTACCTGTCTGTGAGTGTAGGTTTTCGGTACACCGTGTGGCTTAGTTTAGATCCAGATTTCTTTGGGAGCACATCTAAGAAGGCGGTTTCTTGGTTTTTTCCTTTTTCATGGTAAATTCTATGCTAGGATGTGGCTCTCTTCCCCATGACTCCAAACCACAAAAGTATCGTCTACGTATTGAAGCTATACCGTTGGTTTGTGGTCAATAGCTTTCCTCTCGAAATCCTCCATAAAGAAGTTGGCTATGGTCGGGCTGAGCTGATTTTCATTTCTCGGTGTGACAGACAGGATAGGGAAAGTGTTGAAGAAACACAACATAAAAACAATCTTCAAGCCAACAAGGAAAATAGTGAAAATACAGCAATCAATCAGATTAGCCAAGGATAAGAGGAACCCACTGTCAAGCGCTGGAGTCTATCGTATACCCTGCCCATGTGATACGATATACATAGGAACGACAAAAAGATCCATGGGAACCAGGATGAACGAGCACAAAAGAAACTGCAGACTAGGAAAATCGGAAAAATCAGCAGTTGCGGAACATGCATTTAGTGAAGGGAATCATGAAATACTCTTTGATGAAGTCAAGCTTCTTGCACCGACTTCAGGATACCATAATCGTCTTGTACGTGAAGCTAGAGAAATCCACAAACATACGGAGAACTTCAACAGGAAAGAAAAAATACTATAACTTAACCAAATCTGGAACCCGATTCTCAAAAACGCAAGATAGATCATATTGAGTACAGAGAAAGTTGAGATTAGCCACATGGCGCGAAGCCTCGTCCCTCCCCTAACAACAGCCACTCACACATAAATAAAACTTACGGTCGGAAACGCGTCAGTCTGCTACCAGATTCGGACATGGAAGCACCTCTGAAGATGCTTGCCACGCGTGCAAGAAGAAAATCCAACTTACGACGGCCATCAAGCCCGAATGAAAACACCTTATCAATAAACCTGGGCCGCGAAAGCCTCACAAACTTTCCTCTCTTCTCAAAATGGTGTATCTTAGGCTCCCAATTCACTCTACCCTGATTCTACCAAAGTCCCTCTACGTTCTTTTATTCACAATGGGGTGAAGTTTTACAAACATTTGCCATTGGATGTGAAAGCCTCTTCTGGGGAGGTTCAAGGGTACTCGCAACAATTTTTTTTATTGCTGATTTCGTTAGTCCATGAAAAATAAGTTAACACGTGTTTTTTCTTTTCCTTCTCAGTCAAAAATTGACGGAGATTTACAACGCTATGAAATATGCCTATGACGTCACTTATCATATAAATTAGTGACGTTGCACATGCTCAGTATATCTACATATATATACAAAACTTAATATTTGTATAACTTCCGGAATAATCATATTTGGGCGAAATTAAGAAAAAGTAACGATTTTTTTTTCGATTTCCCACAGTTTGCAATAAACAATAATCAATTTAATTTTCCATGCAAGTACCCAGATTGGTGTTCAGCAGCTCACAACAACTGGGTTTCCTTCATTTTTTTCATTCTTTTCATTAAATTCCAGAACATTGTTTAGGCATTTTTACTATACCTTGTTGTTATTTATAGTATTTTGTATTATTGTATTTGAATTTCATTTTTCTCTTGTGCTAGCATAAAATTGTGATTTTTTTTCTGTATAAGTTTTCGCAATGTCGAACAATAAAGTTTTGAAACAAAAGGCACCTTGAATCCTGACGAAAACTTTCTTCAATTTAGACAGGCGTTCGTCTCATCAATCAAAATGATATCAAATCATCAAACGCGTCTCTCAAGTGAGTCCTCATAAGACTGACTGCTTTCAAATGCAGATGTATTCCACAAGTCTTCATGGTGGTTGGCGATTAATAGATGTGGCGCTTTCTGTGTTGATGTGATGTACAAAATTGGTTCTTCTTCTTTCTTCTTTAAGTGCCTTGTCCTCTACGAACGTTGGCAATCATCGCATCACCGCTAACTGTACTATGTCGACTGCTTTTCTGAATAGACTTATCGTGGTTTCGCCATACTAATGACGCAAATTCTTTAGCCCAGATATTCTTCGACGTCCAGGGCCTCTTCTGCTTTCGATTTTTCCCTCGATTATGAGCTTGAAAAGTAGGTATTTGTCATTCCTGAGTATGTGTTCGAAGTACTCTTACTTTCACTTTTTAAGCGTAAATACATAACTTCAAGATCTTTTGACATTCTCATTAGCACATCTCCATTGCGCACTCTTTTCGTCCAAGATATTTTTAGCATCCGTCTATATGTCCACATTTCAAAAGCCTCTAGCATTTTACACATGGCGTCTGTCAGAGTCCACGCCTCAATCTCATAATAGAGAATACTGAAGACGTGGCAACGTAGCACTCGAGTGCGAATGGAGAGAGATCCCGACTACTCCACACGGACTTCATTTTTACAAATGATGCTCTGGCTTGTTAAATCCTGGCACGAACCTCCTGCATGTTATCCCAGTCTTCATTAACCTGACATCCTAGGTATCTATATGATTGGAGTACCTGAAGAATACCTCCACCAATCTGGTTCTTACTGATCACCATCCATTTAGTTTTTCTTAAATTCGCCACTTTCAGTAGCCAAATGATCAAGTAATACTTGAAGATCATCTAGAGAATCAGCGATTAAAACCGTATCGTCCGCATATCGAAGATTGCTAATGTTCACGCCGTTGATAGAAATTCCTCTAGTGCAGTCTTCTAATGCTTTTTCAAACATTTTGTTGGAATAAATATTATAAAGTAATGGTGAAAGAATGCAACCCTACCGGAAACCTCTCCTTATTCGTACTTCGACAGATATTTGTTGATCTACTTTGATTTGCGCAGTCTGATTCCAGTAAAGATTTGTGATTATCTTGAGGTCTTTATCATCTAGGCCTACATCCTTGAGAATTTTCATAAGCTTCTCATGTTGTACCCCCTGTCAAACGCTTTCTCATAACCTACGAAGCATGCGTCAGGAACAGAAACATCTCTACATCTTTGAACTATTACTTGGATGCTAAACAGGGCCTCTCTTGTGCCAAAACCTCTACGAAAACCAAATTCGGATTCGGCCGTGAAGGACTCGCAATTTGCGTGTATTCTTTTATGGATGATTTTTAATAAAATCTTGAGAAAGTGGCTCATCAAGCTAATAAGGCGATAATCACAACATCTTTTTGCATAGGTTTTCTTCGGTTGATTTAAGCCAGAGGTAATGATGCCCGATCGGTAAACCATATTGAAAAATGAAAAGCTCTACTATTGCGTGTAGTGGCTCATTTTTCAGGATATTAATAAGTTCTGTGTGAACACCGTCTGGACCTGGAGTTTCCCTGTTTTTGAATAACTGAATAGCGTGTTGGACTTTTTCCTTAGTTATACATAGTCCTTCTCGTGAATATTCTTCACAAATGTCCGATCTCTCGTCCCTAAACAGGTTTTCGATCTAGCTACACCACTGTTTCACTTTGTCGTGGACATCAAGATATATCTTATCTCGACTGTCCAACAGAATGCCGGTCTGTCGAGGTTTGCAGCTTCTTTTAATTACTTATGCATATTAAAACTGTCATATTTTGCTTCGAGGTCTTCGATTTCCTTACACCATTCGTTTAGCCAATTTTCTTCAGCTACCCTGACTTTGTTTTTTATTTCATGATTCAACTGGCCATATACTCGCTGATCTTTTCGCAGGCGTCTTTCTTCCATCGAGGATTTCATCAGAAATCCAAGCTTTTTTCCAGACCCTAGTGTTACTTGATGATAATTTATTAGAGTTGTTGAGTTGTTTATTATTGTCAGATCCATAGTCTTGGGCTGTTCTTTTTAGCTGTACAGCTTTTTAGGATCAATAGGATTTTTGCTACAAACGGATTGTGATCCGAATTTATATCTGCGCCAGGGTAAGTCTTTGCAGATTTGATGCAATTTCTGTAGCGTTTATTTATCAGCACTACTTCAATTTGGTTTCTGAAAATTCTGTCCAGCGTATGAGTGTTAGAAGTTCAGGTGTAAAGACGTCTTAGTGAAAGTTGGAAAAAAGTGTTCGAGACCACAAAACCCTTTTCCTTACAAAACCCGAACAGTCGGTCACCAAGTTCGTCCGCAATACCCAATCCGGATTCACCAATTATGTCATCCCTCCTTATCTACTGCCAATCTTTGCATTGAAGTCACATTTCAACAGTTTCGTTTGGGTAATCGCACGTTGGTGCATATGTCGAGAATCACATTGTATCGTTCGGAATTGAGTTGGGAGGAATGCTACTCTATCGGAAATTGGGAGAAAAGATTTCACAGTTCTTTGTATTTCCATGCTTACTATGAAGGCCACGCGGTTGTAGTGATTTTGGTGCTCATTACCAGAATAATAAACATGATGGTCATTGATGTGGCACTCACCACAAATTGACCATCTCATTTCGCTGATCTCTAATATGTCGATATGCATTATGCATTCTCTTGATTTCTTTTATGGCTTTGTGAGTTTTCTCTTCTTGGGACATACTTTGTACGTTCCAAGTCGCAATCTTCTTCGTGACTGGCCCGGTGATTCTTAGCACCCCCTGGTCATTTAAGACCTGCCGGGGACTGATGGCCTGGGCTCTAGACTTTTTCTTGGGGAAAATAATAGGATGGTTTCCTCATCGCAGTGTTCAAACTGTTGAAACAGTCCTTGTCGCGCATTCAACTGTATAGCTTGGTGCCGTTCTTTTAATATGTCCATAAATACGCCGACCAAACACTATGAATATTGCTGCTGCACAATTAGTTCGCCCAAGTAATTTCTGCTTGTATACAAAGACGTCAACATCTTCTTTTCTTTGTTATTTACCAAGCTTTGATATATTGTCTGGTCCGGTTTAGATAAAACCGTTGATTAAAACAGAGTTTATTTGTATTTATTTAAAGCTTCGTTTTGGTGTTTTTTTTTTTGTCATCTGAATAATTATTCAATATAGATAACTAAATATAATACTCTGTTTTTGGAATCACAAACCAGGATATTCGTGGCGCAAAATCTAAAATTTAAAATTGACAAATTCAATGTCGGATAGCGATTTTTTCCTACACCAGCCAGCACCTAGGTGCAAGCCGATCATGTCTCGACCAGGCAAACGAATAAAAAAAATATCAATGTGATCTTCTGCCAGAAAGCAGAGCAGGACAAACAAATGCCGCTATAAACAAGCGAATAATATTTAACTGAGGATTATTTATTTTGAGCCTCTATTATTAATTGCTTTTTAATTATAAATTTTAACTTACCAAAAGCCTCCAAAATAGTATTAGCCTCCAAAATTTGTTGCTCGACCCAAGCAGATACTCCCGAAGTTACCGAGCACAAGTACTGCAATATGAATCGGGTACTTTCCGTTTTTCCAGCACCACTTTCTCCACTTATAACTAAACTTTGGTTCTTGTGAGATCCGTCTACCGTCGGCAAACATCTTTGTAGGGATGCGTACGCTGCTTCCGCTACAGCGAAAACGTGTGGTTCTAATTCGCTCAGCTTGTGCCCCTGATATTTGTATATGTATTCCTGAAAATATTAATGTATGTAGCAACAAATTTATCTATCAAAGAAAACTAATTAGAAATTTCAATTTGGATTTATTTTGCTTAGAGCGACTAGGGTAATAGAAATGTAAAAGTTATGTTTCCATATTTCAAATTTTACAATCCGTGTAATTTTGGCTACGATTTTGGGAAATGCTTTGCTTATGTAACCGTAAATTTGTTGTGCGAAAGGTAGAGCGATCGATTGAGCGATTCCCAGAACGTGAAAATTACGCCACAACAGCTCTATATCTAGAGCTTAAAGGCCGCAAAATATATTCCATAAAATTCGGTTTTATTGCTATGTATCTTTTTATGGTGTTTAAATTGAGTGTGGAGGGTTTTATTGGAGATGGGTTGGGGATTATTTATTTGTTAATTTATGTTTATTGTATGCAATCTAATAATGGCCCAATAGACCTTTTGGGAATTGCTATAAAAATTTAGGCTAATTTAAGAAATTCAAACACAAAAAAATTTATTCTTGGTTGTAGAGGTATAATAATAATTATAATAATAATTCCCTCTGGTTAGCCAGTTTAAATTGCTCTTGGCAAAATGGTTTCCGTTCAAGGCACCCTACACAAGGTTCCCGAACAATAAAATCATTAATTTAATAAATCATGTTTATGTATTTTATTAGCCCCCATCATTGTTCCCATCCCATGGTCGATCGGAAACGTTCAAATGATTCGTGTGCCATGTTATTAATTTAAATAACACGATGTGCGTAATGCGACGATTAATATGCCACACGAAATGTATTGGAACTTCCGTTGGTTAAAAGTCAGTTTTTTCAGCTGGCGTTTTGTTTCAGATTGATAGTGATAAATAATTTATCATTATTCCAAAAAAGAAGTACCAAAATTTTCGTACTAAGGTAGGCAAGCAACAATGGACATCTACGAAACATGGTAATAAAAAGTGGAAAACGCTGATGAATCTAGAATTAGAAGCGTTGTTAGAAGGCAATTAAAGAAATTACGTTAGATAGTGGAATAAGAAACAACAAAATACTCGATCGGATCAATTATTATAAGCATGTATATAGTCTAGGAAAATAGTCGAAAAATACATGCATTGCAAAAAAAAAATTCCTACCCAAATGAACTTTTCAGGGATGATAGGGGGCGGGTGGGTGATCATAAAACCGAAAATATCAAACATTCACCCCTCTGGCGTTTTGCGCTATAGGGGTTGAAAGTGCGCCATTGGCGATTACTTGGTACCTATTGATTTTACAAAAAAATGTGTCAAATAAAAGATGTGCAACATTATTTGATCTACAATTTTTATCTAAAGACTTTTTTGATTAAGAGCCGTTTGTGGTCATAAGGGCCGTTTGAAATTTTATAATGAAAATGAAAAATTGTAACCAACGTGAAAAAATTTTCTACAACACATACAACATTTTTGCTTTATGAAGTTTTTACTCACCCCCTGCCGTTTTTCAATAGGGGTAGTTTAAAGTTTTTTTATTTTTCTACAAAAAAATTTTCTTGATAAAAGTTTTACAAGATTACATTTCCTACAATTTTTCCTTATTAACTTTTTTTATAACTCACCCCCATTTAGCGGGGGGACACTTCCCTTAGGAAAATTTTAGTTTTTAGGGGTATATATTATTTTTTTTTTCTTTTCTCGCCTTTAGTGCATATAAAAAGTTGCAATTAACATTGTATTAAAAGGATTTTTTTTCCACCACTTTTTTGTTTTTAGGGGTAAATCGCCTATTTTTAACTTTACAAAAACTCCAAGCTCCACTTCTGCAAAAAAATTTGCAGGTAAAAGCTGGGATTGTAAAACCCGCAAGTTCCTATCCTGCACCTTCAAACCAGGGTTCGTCGTGATCGACTGTGAGGATGAAGACACAAGTAAGTGACTATTCCAAACGGCGGAGACCTTAAATGTCCTTAAAGCCCTGGGATGGGGCTGCACCGAGGGCAATGGAGGAATCCAGAATGCCTAGGCCGCAAATCTTTGTGCGACACTTTCCCAATAGTGCAAATAGCCCCAACGAGGATATACTTGGTCTTCTCAAACGCCAAAACAAAGGACTGAGCGTTGAGGACTGGAGAGTCTTCAACAGAGTGACCGAGGGGACCTCTGCTCAGCTAACCATTTCTATAGAACAACGGTCTTCTGAAAACCTGAAGAGGGAAAACTTCGGGGTGGCTTATCGATTCGGCCAGCTTCGGCTAAAGCCGAGAGGAGGACCCCAAAAAGGAGAGTCCCAAAAAAGGTGCATGAAACTGGTGCTGCTGCGGCGGCCGGGGCGTCTGCGTCGAAAGCAGCAGACCCCAGGGGGACTGAGACATGTCCCAAAGGAAAAGGCAAAACTACAACGGGTGAAAAGCCCAACAAAACCAGGGATCATAAAGGTCCCAGTAAGCAGCAATCATAATGGCTCCTTGTAAAGTGTTACAAGTGAATCTGCAACACGCAAAAACTGCATCAGACGTGCTTAGCTGCAGATTCAACTGGGACAACTGGACATAGTCCTCATTCAAGAGCCATGGACCCATGGTTCTCTAATGAGAAATTATCAACAATAGTAACAAAACCACCTTTGCAAACAGTGTGCGGCAAGAAGTGTTACACTTAACCTTGAGAAGCACACACATAAGCAACCAAATTGAAAACTGGCACGTCTCCAACGAAATCTCGATGTCGGATCATAAACATTTAAGATTCGATATAAAGGTCATAGAGACACGCCTTCTCGAGCATAGAAACCCAAAACTAACTGGCTGGGGTCTATTTACAAAGACCTACTAAAAGCAGAAGCAACCGACTACTCCAACGCAATAAAAACAGAGCGTGAGTTAGAGTATATCACGAACGAAATAAACACTCTAATAATAACAGCCTATGAGAACAGCTGTCCTACGAAACAAAGGGTCGTGGATAGAAAAACGCCTTGATGGAACAGGACGCTCAGTTCCCTAAGAGCTGAAACAAGAAGGTTATTCAATAGGGCAAAACGCACCAACAACTGGGGCGCATAGAGAACTACCACATCCCTCAGACAATGCGACTCCAGAAAGTCCTTGCAAAAGACCACTCAAACGGCATTGGACTACTGCAAAACCCTGATGGCAGTTACACAGAGAGTAGATTAGAGAGTGTGAAACTGCTCCTACAATCGCACTCCCCAGACTCTGTACAGTGTGAGCTAAACGGCAACAGAGCTTCGGTGGCTAAGGGCGTCTCACGCCCAAGCAACCGAACAAAAAGTTTGGCCAGAAAAATATTCACCTCAAACAAAATGAGATGGGCTATAAACAATTTTCAGCCCTACAAACCACCAGGAAATGACAGAAATTTTCCAGCTCTCCTACAACAAGGCTTAGAAGAACTTATAACTCCACTAGCAATAATATTCAAAGCTATATAGCTACCTACTAGGTTACATTCCCACCAGCTGGCGGAAAGTAAATGTGGTCTTTATTTCAAAGGCTGGGAAACGTCCCACAGCTCAGCCTAAATCGTTCATACCCATCAGCATTACCTCGTTTCTCCTAAAAACCATAGAGAAAATCATTGATTTACATATAAGAAGAGAATTCGTAACCGATAAATCGCTCTACAAAAACCAATATGCCTATCAAGCAGGCAAATCAACGGAGACAGCCTTATACAGCCTTGTCAGTTGTCAATAGGATTGAAATGGCACACTCTAACCAAGAAACCGCTCTCTGTGCCTTCATTAATATAGAGCAGTCGTTACCAACCTTGAGATTAGCGCGGACCAATTTTGCCAAATCAGGATTTACGCGGACCACCAGCGCCGTACCAAGACTGGAACCTTGGGGAGGGGGATACAAAAATGAAGGAAGTTCGCCGCAGGCGCCGCTAAAGTTAGAATTTTTTCTCTGTTGCCATGACCAAAATCGATTATTTTGAGCCTCAAAACAGTTCATTGAAGCGCAGTGTTCATTTCTATTCTATTTCGTCAGAGCTTTCCAGATTATGATGATTATGATTATTCCTATGTCGAGTGGATTTGTGACGTCATTATTATTTTTGAAAACAATTCTAGAGAATAATCTAAAGCACTAATAATTTCAAAGATACTTTAAGGCGGCAACATCGCTCCCATGCACACGATACAAAATACACAAATCGGATTTAGACTACAAAAAAAAACCGCCCATCAGAATTTGCTGAAATTTGGCATAAACATTCCTTGATCGATTATCTAGAGAATAGTCCAGTTAGATTTTCCATATTTCGAATTTTTTTTTGGCCTATTTTGTGAAAATGAACTATTTTCCAAAAATAGAAATAACCACGGTAAAAATTGAAAAAATAAGAGCACTATTCTCTAGATAATCGATCAAAGAATGTTTATGCCAAATTTCAGCAAATTCTGATGTGCCGTTTTTTTTTGTAGTCTAAATCCGATTTTGGAATAAATTTTTTTTCGAAGATAGCGCCACCAGTCAATTCGTGATGTCATAATTAGGCGTTATGGAACCGTTGGAGCAGCAGCTGATGTAGGTTGTTCAGCGATTCCAAAAAAGCCTATTGACACAAAGCATGCTGTGCCATTAGTTTCCATTGAAAATAAATAAAGTAAAGTTTGTTTCACCAGGGTTTGTACTTGCCACCAACATTTGTCTTCCTTGTTTAACAAATAAAAATTGACTGAAACAAATTAATGACGTTCGTCGGTTATAAAACCAGACGTCATTCATTTTAATTTGTCAAAAAAATTGAAAGTGTCATAGGTATGAATTAATCTACGATAACCCTTTTTTGTCAAGTTTCAAGGTCAAGTATGAACCCTGGTGAAACGAACTTTACCTATTTTAATCCGGTCAAAATACTACTAAAAATAGTGGTGAAGTTACAAAAATTCCCATAGAGATGAAATTTGGTAGGAATGTTCGGAACACCATTATAAATGAATGTTAAAAAGTCCCCATCGATCCCGTACCTGCAATTTTTTTTATTCAAATTCACGGCCTATTCCACGGT